CGCACCCCAAAAAATCAAAGTTAGCAGAACCTAGTCGTGTTTGGGCTCATTTCAAAGCCAAAACTCTGCTGAGCTCGGATAGAGTGTTTTCAAGCTTTGAATTTTAGTTTCTAAGCCGCCAGGGGGCATTTTCAAGGCCACTCAAGTTCAAAAGTGCGCTATAATAGTCAATTTTGCCTCGAAAAACCTAAAATTTTTGTAGATTCTCACAAATCCTGCAACGCTTCCTTGTCTCCGTTGGTTTGATCCTCAGATAATCGTGGAAATCTTCTTTTCGGGCCTCATCGGCCCAATGTCCATTGAGACCATCATCCCGTTCGTCCTACAAATGAACCTAAACACATTTTTTGATAATCACTGCGGAGGATCGGTCAGCGGATCGTCAGACACGTTATCAACGTCTTCATTGTCAGAAATCATGAGCAATCAGTGATCTTTTAAGTTTTACAGTATTAATTTTCCCTTTTTTTTAGCCTTAAAATTTTTTCCCCGTTTTTTTTTTCTCCCAAAAATCAAAAAATGTCACAATTCCCTTTTTTTTTGAATACCTCTTCTTCTTTTTGACTTTCAAATTTCCCGCCTACTGTACATACCCCACCCCTCCCGTCTCTCTCCAAACATGTTCCTCATTTTCAGTGCTTTCAGTCTTCCCCTCCGTTTTTGGGTCGTGGCGGCCTGAAAAATGGTTTTTAGGCCTTGAAATTTTTAAATTTAAATTTGCCATGTTAAGAGCTTTAAAATTAGCCTAAACCCGCCTAGGTTTGGTGGAATTCGATTTTCAGGCTTTTTAGGCCGTTTTAGGCCGGAAAAACTTTTTGCATCCGAACTTATTCGTGTTTAGGCTCATTTGAAAGCTCTTCACTTGGAAAATTTGAATTTCTCAGTTTCAAGGTTTAAAAATCATTTTCCAGACCTCCCCGGGCCCATTTTCCCCAGAAACTTCATCCGGTTTTTAGACACCCCCACTCTGTCCCATCCTAATAAGAAAATTCCCGGAATCAAAATGTTTTTTTGTTGTCTGTCTAATAACTACAGTATCCTTGCCACGTTCTCCACAATTTTCTTTGGTTTTTTGGCCCCGCCCCTTTTTTTGGCCCCACCCATAGGCGGCGGCACCTATCCTCATTTGGGCTTTATCTGAAGGCTTTATAGGCTTGTTTCTCAACACAAAATCGTTTGAATGTTTAGCAAATCGTTTAGGTATTAGTATATTTTATTAAGCTCCGCCCCATTATTGATTTTCTTGAAAATCTTATTTATGCATTTTAGTGTACTATTCCTCCCCCATATTTATGAGGCCCGTCCCATTTTTTTCTCGTTAGCTCCGCGCACTTTTTTGAATTGGAACAAACAAAAAATGTCTGAAAATAAAAAAAATACAACAATCATCGAAGCTTTGAAATTTCAGAATTTTAGATATTTTCCAAAAAAAAATGTTTCAGGCTTTTTTGGGCCCTGGCTGCCTAGTTTTCGCATTTATGTTCTTGAATTTTATCTCAATGTGTTTGTCTTGTTTTGCGCTTCAAAATGCGCCTAATCACGGCTAGGATCTGCCCACTTTCATTTTTCGGGCACGTCGCGGTCGTGCGTCGCGTGCCTAGCTGAAATTTCAAAGTGGGCGGAGCCGAGTCGTGGTTGGGCTCATTTTGAAGCCCTGAACGGGATAAATTCAAAAAATTAAGTTTCATTACCTAGATTTGGATTTCCAGGCCGCTAGGCTTGAAAATGTAAAATATAAACTTTTTGAAAAATTCCAATAATCTACTTCTTACTAAGGAAACTTTTCTGTGTGTCTGTGTGTGTGTCCGTCTCGGACATTAAATTGAATAACTCAAAGGAATATGGGACTCCTATAGTGGTGTGTGGTATGTAGTCATGGACTACCGAGAGCTTTATGTCTATGGTGTCCTGGGCCTTCTAGCTAACAGGGAACCTATAGGATTGAGAATCGAAATTTTCAAAATTATCCTAAAACCCACTAAAACTTCATGAAATTTTGTAAAGCGGTTTTTTGGTCTATCTATGTGTTGCCTACATAAAATTGAGTAATTTTCTACAGAATACAAGGTTCTTAAGTTATGCGCAAAATTCCAGAAAGTTCCTGAACACTCTAGAAAATTCCAGAAAGTTCCAGAACGTTCTAGAACATGCTAAAAATTCCAGAGCATTCTAGAAAATTCCAAAAACTTCTAGAAAATTTTAAAAATTACAGGAAGTTCCAGAAAGGTCCATAATATTCTGGAACATGCTAGAAAATTCTAGAAAATTTCAAAAACTTACAAAAAATTTCAAAAAGTTCCAGAACATTCTAAATATTAAAAATTAAAAATTATTAAATTAAATTTAAAAAATTATTAAATTATTAAAAATATTAAAAATTACAGAAAATTCTAGAAAGTTCTAGAACATTCCAGAAAGTTCCTGAACACTCTAGAAAATTCCAGAAAGTTCCACAACGTTTTAGAACATGCTAAAAATTCCAGAGCATTCTAGAAAATTTCAAAACCTTACAAAAAAAGTTTCAGAACATTCTAGAAATCTCCAGAACAATTTAGAACATTCTAGAACATGCTAGAAAATTCCAGAAACTTCCAGAAAATTTCAGAAAGTTCGAGAACATTCCAGATAATTCCAGAGCATTCCCTTTTCAAGAAACATGTATTCTGTCGTGTAGAAACTCGGAAATTCAGAAAATCGAATATCTTTTTTCTCAAAAAAAGCGACAAGACTTAACAGAAATTATCAGAAAAATGAAAAAAAAGTACGTCTGTTTTATCAGAGATGGGCATCAAATAGATGTGGACTTCTATTGGAGAAATTACGTTATCTAAAAATTCCCATATTAGTAACATCCAAAATTTAAAAATCGAAGTACTTGGAAGTTTCGGGCACTCGGAAAGTGGGAAATCTAGACTTTAGAAATTCAAGTGTAAGATACAGTGAACGAGGTTGACTCAAACCGACTGGTTGTGACTATCTGGAATTGTGGACATTTTGTATGAAAATGTGTTTAAATTTGAATTCAGCATGTCAAGCGCTTCAAAACTCACACAGACACAGACACACAGAAAAGTTTCCTTAGTAAGAAGTAGATTATTGGAATTTTTCAAAAAGTTTATTTTTTACATTTTCAAGCCTAGCGGCCTGGAAATCCAAATCTAGGTAATGAAACTTAATTTTTTTGAATTTATCCCGTTCAGGGCTTCAAAATGAGCCCAACCACGACTGGGCTCCGCCCACTTTGAAATTTCACCTGGACACGCGACGCACGACCGCGACGCGCCGGAAATATGAAAGTTGATCAAACATACGCGTGGTTGGGCTCATTTTAAAGCTTTGAACGAGACAAATTCAAAAAAAAAAAATTTCATGACCTAGATTCGGATTTCTAGGTCACCAAGGTCGTTTCACATGGTAAGCAGCGGCTTACAATTAAAGGGGCGAATAAAAGCAAAAAGAACCAGTTTTTTTGGTTTTCATTGAGAAAATGTGTAAAATGTTAGAAAACTTGAACATGGACAAGTTTTTCTAATTCTCAAGTACGTACACACACCCATTTGGACCCAAATCGGAGTGTACAGAGTGTAATTTTCTGGAAATTTGAAAGGAAACTATTTTTGCCGGTTGTTTTTGGCTGAAAATTGGTTCAAGTCTAATTTTAAGGGAAAATGGAGGCTAAAACACAAAATTCAAAGTTTCAACTATCCCAAACTACAGTAACCCTCCCCCAACGCCCCGTTTGTGTGTTTGAATGACAATTTTCGACTTTTCTAGTCTATTTTGGCACAAAACAAGCTCGAAAATCGAGTTCACCGCTCAAAAATAGCCTAGAAACACTGAAAAACGCAGAGTGGCCGAACTTTCCAAGTGGTGGCCTAGAATTTTCAAAAACTCGGCCACGTTGGAATTTTTCATTTTTTCATAGTTTCTAGGGTAGTTTTTGATGGGAAACTCGAATTTGTACTTTTCGAAAGCCAAACGTTATTGCTTACGGTCAAAAAGTGGAAAATAGGCTGAAAATGAAAATTTAGAGAAAAAAAAATTTTTTCGAGATTTTAATCTAGTGCCTTTTCGAGGACACAACACAACCAGTGAGGCGCGACTTCAATCGATTTTTGTGTATTATCTGATCGTTTTACACATACATTCATTCATATGTATGTATACAGAAACTGCCCTTCACTTCTATTTTCCTCCTTTTTTTTTCATAAAAATCGAAAATCATATTTTTCTTTTCACGATTTTTTGTTTAATCCGATTTCATTTTTATTGATGTTTTATCATCGAAAATCCGCATAATTCTTCTTTTTTTTTGAGCTAAAAATACAAACAAATTTTTTTAAAAATCGCTTTTTTTCCAGCTTCCAGTTGGTTCCAACACAGAACAGACTTGAAAATCGAGTTCATCGCTCAAAAATAGCCTAGAAACACTGAAAAACGCTGAGTGGCCGAACTTTCCAAATAGTGGCCTAGAATTTTCAAAAACTCGGCCACGTTGGAATTTTTCATTTTTTTATAGTTTCTAGAGTTATTTTTGACGGAGAACTCGAATTCGTACATTTCAAAACTCAAAAACTATTGCTTAGGGTCAATGAAAAAGTTTTGCGCTATCTCAAACTACAGTAACCGTCCCCTACGCCCCGTTTGTGTGTTTAAATGACAATTTTCGACTTTTCAAGCGTATTTTGGCACAAAACAAGCTCGAAAATCGAGTTCATCGCTCAAAAATAGCCTAGAAACACTGAAAAACGCAGAGTGGCCGAACTTTCCAAATGGTGGCCTAGAATTTTCAAAAACTCGGCCACGTTGGAATTTCTCATTTTTTCATAGTTTTTAGGGTAGTTTTTGATGGGGAACTCGAATTTGTACTTTTCAAAGCTCAAAAATCAAATTCTAGAGTTGATAATTCAGTTTTCGCCACCTTATGACCGAACTTTCCAAATGGTGGCCTAGAATTTTCAAAAACTCGGCCACCTTGGAAGTTTTTGATTTTTTCATAGTTTCTAGGGTACTTTTTGATGGGAAACTCGAATTTCCATATTTCAAAGCTAAAAAAGCGATGAATTAGTGCGAAAAGTTAGTTTTTCTCTTGTCAAACTTCGTTTTTTGGTATAATTTTGAAAAACGCTAATAACTTGTTTCATTTTTGTGCTAGAATTTTAGTTTTAATGTTATTTTGAAGCTCTGGAAATTTTACATCGTTTGAAATACAAAAATTATGAAACTTAACAAAAATTGAGGTCTATATAAACCGAAGAAGGAGACCCAAGTTGACCACAATCAGGAAAAAAAAACTTTATAACTTTTTTCATTTTTAAGCTATAATTTTGATTTTAATATTTTTAGAAAGCTCGTAAAATTTGGCATCAGAAATTTACAAAATCTAAGCAATATAGCTACAAATTAAGGTCCGAAGAAGCCAAACCAGGATGGTCGAGGTGTATAAATCGGCCACTACCTGGAAAACGTTTATAACTTGTTTCATTTTTGGGCTACAACTAAGATTTTTGTATTTTCAGAAAGCCCAGAAAATTTTAAATCAAATTATAGCAATACGAAACTGCAGAAAATCAAAAGCACCCACCAATTCTAGCGTAATTTGTCGGCTACAACGAGTTCCCATTCTTTGCCCTTTCCCCGTTCGTTTCTCCGTCAAAATTCGAGTTTTTGCTTCCGGGCAAGAGGGCAGATTACTCCTCTTGTGCTCTTTTCCTCCGTTTTCTCCTTTATTTGTGCTCCGTTCGTTATCGACTCATGCTTCTTGCTCCTTTTTGCTCTTTCTCTTCTCCCGAAACGGTTCGCTCCCATTTTCTCTCGTGTTTCCTTTATATTTGTTTTAGTTTCTTCAATTTTCTATAAAGAATTTGTGGAATGAACACCTAAAACTGTTTTTCTGGTCGAAAATTGGTCGGAAATCAAGCAAGTTTGGCTAGAGTTTGGTTTAAAGAGCTTTTCCCATTTTTTCGAGATTTGAAGCCGTGTTCTAGTCTTTATTATCCTTATCTTGGCATATCATGCTTTTCCCCCCTTCAATTTTGCTCATTTTTAGCCATTTCTAGCTGTGTCTAGAAATCTCTTCTAAATTTCTGCTTCTCGATTTCCCTGCCCCCCTTCTCCCTCGGCGCCCTCCACCCTCCGCTCCCCCGACCTTTCCTATACGCCCTCCACTTTCTTTCTTCTCGTGTCCTCGGTAGTATAGTGGTGAGTATCCGCGTCTGTCACATGCGAGACCCGGGTTCAATTCCCGGCCGGGGAGAAACCTTTTTTGCTTTTTTGTTTGATGGTTCTAGACTGTTTTGTACTTGTTTTTCACTTTTTTTATTGGAAATTTGTCACGAGGGGGTCAATGACTAAGCCACCACCGGTTTTTTATGATGTTCATCGCTGAACAATGGCAAAAAAAACAACAAAGCCACCCCATCAGATGACTTTTGACTAGTTTTGTTGAACTTTTTTTGTTGCAGAAATCGTTTTTTCTTTCAATAAAAATTCCCAAACGATGCTCCGGTATCCCGCATTAAAAATCCTTTTCATAGTTTGGTCCTTAATCTTCCTACGTGATAAAAAAAGAATTCTACGTAGAATTCTGAATACGTCATCTAGAGAATTCTCTGATTCTATTTTGACTGTTGGCCAATCAGATTTGACCAATAAAAAGGGGGCGGAGTCTAACTTTTTTTTGGTTTGATGCGTTTTGTGATAGACCAAAAACTAACCAGACTATAGGGGTTTATTAGACTTTTCTAGAGAAGAAAGAGATTTTCGAGTGCTTTAAGAAATTTCAGCGTATTTAGGACGACAAGAGCTTCAAACTGAGTATAAACAAGCCTAGGTTCTAAAAATTTCGGGTTACTGTAGTCGTGGACCCAGAAATCCCAAAATTGAAAATTGTCAAATATAGGCTTGTTCATAGTCATTTTAAAGGGCTTATTAATCAAAATTCAAATCTGTTAAAATTTTTGAGTTTGCACCAAAACCAACTGAGATACGGTAGTTTCCGTCGTGGGACTTGAATTAGGGCGAAAATTTCAAAAATTCAATTTTAGGCTTGTTTATACTCATTTTGAAGCCCTCAACAAGAGAATCTTGAAACTCTAAAAGTTTTTAAGATTGCACGAAAATAAACTGAGATACGGTAGTTTTCGTGGAGGAACCCAAATTTCGTCAAAAACTGTCATCTTTCAAGCTCTAGCAGCATAGAAAAGAATTTTTGAGCTTCGAAACTAACAAATTCACAAGTAACATGTTCATAGCTTCAAAATGAGCCCAAACACGACTAGGCTCCGCCCATTTTGAACTTTCCATAAGACACGCGACGCACGACCGCCACGCACCGGATAAATCGAAGTGGGCGGAACCTAGTCGTGTTTATAATCATTTTGAAGCTCTTAACGAATTGAGCTCAAAACTGTTAACATTTTTGAGTTTACACCAAAACCAACTGAAATACGGTAGTTTCTGTGAAAGGACCCAAATTATCTCGAAAATTCGATATTTCAAATATAGGCTTGTTTATACTCATTTTCAAGGGCTTGTTTTGCTGAATTTTAATCTAATCAAATTTTTGAGTTTGCGCTAAAACCAACTGAGATACGGTAGTTTATGTTTTGAGACCCGATTAGGGTCGAAAATTGCAGGTTTCAAACCCTATAATTTTCTTAATCGTGCTCAGAACTTGATTAAACATAGAAATTCGAATTTAGCACGTTTTGAGCGTCAAAATGAGTATAAACACGTCTATGTTTAAAATTTCTTCTGGGTTACTGTAGTCGATGGACCAAAAATCCCAAAAAATGAAAACTTTCAAATATAGTCGTGTTCATACTCATTTTAAAGCTCTCAAGACTCAAAACTCAAAACCGTTAAAATTTCCGAGTTTGCACCGAAACCAACTGAGATAGGGTCGGTAGTTTTCGTGAAAGGACCCAAATTATTTCGAAAATTCGGAATTTAAAATATAGGCTTGTTTATACTCATCTTGAAGCTCTCGTTAAGCTAAACTCAAAATTTTTATCATTTTTCAGTTTGCATCAGAACCAGCAGAGTTGGGTCCCAAATAACGTAATCCAAAAATCCGAAATTTTCAAAAAATTCCAAGCCCCACCTTGTTTATACTCATTTTGAAGCTCGTGACATTCTAAACTCAAAAATCACAAAGTCACATGCGTCCTTAGGGCTCCGCCCCCTTATTTTCATAGTTTCTAGTCTTGGCACCGTGCCAAAACCTGTTCCAATGTGTTTGTTCGGGTGTATTCTGGGTTCAAGCTTATCATTTTTCTCTAAATCTCTTCTTTTTTTTTCTCAGAAATCACATCATTTCCTTCTGTTGTCGTCATTCGTTCAAAGATAAGCCGTTATATAGATAAACTTTTTGATCTAATTTCTTCATTTTTGCAGAAAAAATCCAACAAAAAAATTGGATGAGACTGCTGCTACTACTACCGATCCTTTATGCCAGCTTGGTGAGTTTAGACTACTGTAGTTTTAAAATTTCAAATTTTTGTTCCAGGACCCATCGGAATGTCTAACACCCGGGGAGAACTGTGAAATGTGCCAAATTGTGCTCCGCACAGTTTTCGGCCACTTTTCAGCCAACGTTCCGTCCCGAAAAAAGTTGGTCAACCAGTTGAAGCACGAATGTAAACGACATTTTAATGTAAGTCTGAATTTATAGGGTTTTTTGGATTTTTCTGGTTTTAGGAGCATTTTTGAGATTTTACAATTGCTATTATCAGTTTTGGTTTATCAAGAGCTTCAAAATGAGCCCAAACTCGACTAGGCTCCGCCCACTTTGAAATTTCGCCTGGACACGCGACGCACGACCGCGACGCGCCGGAAAAATCAAAGTGAATAGAACCTAGTCATGTTTGTACTCATTTTGAAGCTCTTGACAAGTAAAATTTGAAACTGTTTGAATTTTTCAAAAATATTGATTTTCAGACAAGTTACATCAGCATGTTACTGTATGTGAACCCTAGCTCTGCTGGGTTTTTGTGCAAACTCAGAAATTTCAACAGATTCGAATTTGGCTTGAGAAATCCTTTGAATTGAGTAGAAACAAGCGTATATTTGAAGTTTTCAACTTTTTGGTCTAATTTGGGTCGCATCACGAAAACTACCGTATCTCAGTTAGTTTTGGTTCAAACTCAGAAATTTTAACAGATTTGAATTTGCCTTAAAAAGCCCTTCGAAATTAGTTTAAACACGACTATATTTGAAAGTTTTCAATTTTTGGGATATTTGGTCCATCGACTACATCAACCCAAAACATTTTTTCAAATATAAGCTTGATTATACTCATTTTAAAGCTCTCAACACGCTGAAAACAGTGATAGCAATAAATATAGGAAATTTTCAACTAGTTTCGAGAAACTTCGAAAAATGTTTTTTTCCAAAAAATCTTTTTTTTGAATATTGTCTCTACGTCACCCCAAAGCGGTTAACTTTGAAGGCTTTGCTACTCGATCACACCTAATATCAAATGTCTTATCAGTGTTAATAAATTATCACTTCTCTTTCTTTTGCAGTACCGACGACGATGCCTAATGGCGGTCAAGGACCAAGGCGACTTCTTGTATCGAGAAATGACCGGAGGCGACTTTAAACCCATAAAACCTTGTTTCATTATGAAGGTGAGAGATTGAGGGACTAGAATCCCAAATTTCAAGTTTCTAGGCCATTGGGGAAAGGTAGTTACGGGAATTTGAAATTTTTTGATTTTCGAAAAAATATTTTTTTTTTGAAAAATCAAACTTTCTAGACAGAAATTTTCTTAAAAATCTGAATTTTCTCATTTCCAGGAGTGCAAACGTCTCCAATCACCACTCCCTGAAGACTTCTTTGTGAACAACGCGGACAACTCGACGTATCCCTTGGAATCGACAATTTCCGACACGACAATTGAATTGGATACTGTAACTACAGTATCCCCAACGACCACCGCACCAAATGGGCAGGACTAGGACCGAAAAAATTTATTGATTTTTTTCAACATTTTTTTTTTGAAACGGGTCATTTCAGGGAATCTATATGCGCTGATTGAAAATAAACGAATTTTTAGTATTTTTTCGGTTTTCGTCTAATTTTTTATGCTGAGCAATCCGAGTGAATTCCAATTTTTGGTTTATTTTCAAGTCGAAAAACAACAATTTTTTACGTATGTTAAAGAAAAAAATTGGAAAAAATCAAGGATTTTTCGTTGACTTCCAGAATTTAAAACCAAATTATTCGAATTTTACAGGAAAAAAACTGTTTTTTGAAAAGCTGACAA